ATAGCTGGGCAAAATTACTAAAGAAGACCAATTACTAAAGGGCTTAAATTGTCATGCTGATGTAATGATATGTGATTGACTAACACTCAGGAGACATTCTTTAGGCCTTGCAAGTAAAATCCTTTATTAAAGGTCATAGGCCTCCAGAATTTCAGATCCTGTTTAGGCTTGGATTGAGTAAGGATTTATGTAAAACTAGCAATAAGATTTAGATTGCTAATTATTTAAAATTTAAACAATACAATCATGACAAATTAATATCTGACAAAAACATTTTATGCATTCCTAAGATTATGATTTGTTGGGTTTTTTGGTGTGGTAAATTCAAAAGTTTTCTCTCTAATGCAAATAATGTGCTGACTTAAAAAATAGCATTCTGTTATTCTATCATAATTGTGATAATTGCTTTTCTATTTTACAATGGACTTACTGTGTATCTAGACTACTGCAACTGTCACCCCAAAAGGTAGAAACAGTTAGAAAATTGTACCATCAACATTCTGTGATGACACAGGAGGAGATTGTAAGGGCAAATACAAATAAAAAATAAAGGCTTAATCTTTCTTCTTCAAAGTAAGAGAAGATACTTTCACCCATCCCTGTTCTTAGAGCATTTACTGTAAACATTTGTAGTTTTAAGCTTTTTCCTTGTCTTTTTGAAGTATATGTAAATTTATTTCAACAGCTAAATAAACCTATTGCAGCTTTAAGATGCTTGACTGTTTTTCTCAAAGGCCCAGGAACCATCTCTTTGATATAGAAACATCAAGTAAGACAGTGTTCTTATCTCCAAGTTTCTGTGGGAGGGTAAGAGCATAACTTCAGCTGGCACCTCACTCCACATTGCAAAACTACTAACTTGTCATAAAATATACGAGAAGTTTATTTTCCTGTGGATAAAGCCAAAGAACTAACATAGATGGGCACTCCAACAACTAAATGAGTTTAGAAAAAAACTGTGTGTGACAAATGGTGCTGTCAAGTTATCTTACTGAAGAATAGTTATTGTTTATCTTAAGAATATGTAAATCATGGTGGATTAGCCAGAGTTCCTCACAGAAATAGAATCAATATATGAAAAGACTTGTTACAAGGAATTGGCTCATGTGATATGTGAGGTAACAAGTCCCAAGATCTGTACTGGGCAAGTTGAAGACCCAGGAGAAATGCTGTTGTAGCTATAGCCTAAGAAGGCTGGAAAACCAAGAGAATTGATGATCTAGTTCCAGTCTGAATGTTGGCAGGCTCAAGCTCCAGGAAGAGCTGATATTTTAGTTCCAGTCAGAATGCGAGAGAAACAAACAAAAATTATGCACCAGGTTAAAGGCAGTGAAGCAGGAGGAATTTCCTCTTACTTGTGTGAGGGTCAACCTTTTCATTATATTCTGGTTTGTTATATTAAAGCCTTACTGGTTCATTATATTAAAGCCTTACTGGTTTGATGGGACCTACACGCATTAGGGAGGGCAAGCTGATTTACTAAATCTACTAATTCAAATGTTAATCTCATCCAGTAACTCCCTCACGGACACAGCTAAAATAATGTTTTACCACATGCCTGGGAACCTTTTGGCTCAGTCAAGTTGATACATTAAGTTACTTATCACAAGTGGGTTGCGTTCTGTTTGGTTATGTAAAGATGAGATTTTTATTTCTGTCTTTGCCTTTTCTTAGTGGATTGCCTATGATGTACATCACATTATAGTTTAATGGTTAATTAATATTAAAATTATGTTCTTTATTTTTTACCTTTATGGAGAGTTTCTGGGTTAGAAGAAGATTTCAGTTTAAATATATTTTCCTAACAGCATACATGTGAGATTGTTTCTGACCTTAATTTACCCTTCTGGTCTATAACAGTGCCTTGGCTTAATTGCTGTAGTTTTCATTATACTTTATTATACCTGCTAGAGCAAGTAAGTGCTCTTGAGTTGTCCTTCAAGAGTTCCCTGGCTTTTTATTTAATTTTGCATATATTTACATATATTTTAATATATATGGAAATTTTAATTTATGTATATTTATTTATGGTTTTCAGCTTTCACCATTCACAAAAATAAAAACAAGAATGCCTATAGATAATTTTATTGAGATAACATCTCTTTAAATAAATTTGGAGAAAATTGACCTCTTTACATAATGCTTCCACTGATCCACCGACTCATAAACTTTCTACGTTATTATTTTAAATATATTTTGATATTATCTTTTACTTCATTAAAAGAGGTTTTTTTTAAACATACTTTGTTATCTTTTATATACTATTGCAGTCTTACACCATATAATAAGGTTTTGGTCAACAAACCAGGTGTAGAGTCATGATCTCATAACTTCATAATGGAACTAAACATTTCTGATTGCCTAGTGTCATTGTAGCCATAGTAACTTCAAGCACAATGTATTACCCACATGTTCGTAGTGATGCTGGTATAAACAAATCTTCTGTCTTGCCAGCAGTAAAAGGTATAACACATACAATTATGTACTGTGCCTAATACTTGATAATTATAATAAATGACCATGTTACTGGTTTATGTATATACTATAATATTCTTTATATCATTATTTTAAATTGTGTGCCTTTTACTAATGAAAAAAAGCAACTGTGTTAAATCAAGTTTAGCTTAAAACTGGCTCCTTATATATTTTAAGTTAAGCTTAAAGATTTCTCTGTAGATCTTGAAGTACAGCCTAAATGGAATGTAAACAGACTGTAATCTACTCTTGTGCCAATCACTGAGTGTTAGCCAATCCAATGTGACCAACTGTTCAAATGGTGTTCCAGTAAGACAAACACTGAGCTATAGCCAATCCAGCTGTTTCGGTACCTCACTTCCATTTTCTGTGCTTTGCTTTCCTTTTTCTGTCCATAAATTCTTTTTCACCTTATGACTGCATGGAATTCCTGAGCCTCATCTGGCTCGGGAGGATGCCTGATTCATGAATCATTCTTGGCTCAATTAAGCTCTTTTAAATTTAATTTGGCTGAAATTTTTCTTTTGACAACTGCAAAACAGTCTCAGGCAGTTCCTTCAGCAAGTATTCTAGAAGAATGCCTTCTATTCTATACTGTTACTATAGGAGATGCCGGCTCCATGTATGTTATCGCTCATAAAGACCTTCCCATGGGACAAAAAGTGGAGGTGAAAATATTGATAATCCTGACACTGTGTAGGCCCAGACTATTGTGTGTGCTTCTGTCTTAGTTTTTACTAACAATGTTAAAAGAGAAGAAAAAAATTTCTAAAAATAGAAAAATGCTTATGGAATAAGAATATCAAAAATAGGTTTTTATAGCTGTACAATATGTTTATGTTTTAAGCTAAATGTTATTATGAGAGTTGAAAAGTTTGAAAAATTAAAAAGCTTATGAAATCAAATTGTTATGGTAAGCGGAGGTCAGTTTATTAAAGAAGAAAGAAAAATGTTTAAATTAGTTTAGCCTTGGTGTAAGTGTTTATAAAGTCTATGATAGTGTATAGCAATGAATATAGCAATGAATATAGCAGTGAAGGCCTTCACATTCACTCATTACTCAATCACTCACCCAGAGCAACTTCCAGTCTTGCAAGCTACATTCAGAAGTGTCCTATACAGGTGTATCATTTTTTATCTTTTGTAAACCAAAAATAAAATTTGAAGACCACCAAACTGTTCTGTATGGTCTCTCTCCTTGGCCAGGGCACTCTAAAATTTAACCGGAAAGACTGGTTCAGGCCATGACAGAAAGTAGGGGTCAGACAGGCCTTATTATACCCCATCCAGCATTAACATCAACACAGACCTTAAACCTAATAAGAAAGATTTAATTAACAGTCTGTTCTCTCTAAAGCCTGCTACTTGGAGGCTGCTTGTGCATGATAAAACCAAGGTCTGCAAAAATCCCTTATTTTAACCCAGACACTTCTTTCTACTGATAATAACTCTTTCAATCAATTACTAATCAGAATATGGTTAAATCTACCTATGACCTGGAAGCCCCCACTTTCAGCCGCTTCACCCTTCTGTATCAAACCAATGTAAATATCGTATGTGTATTGATTGATGTATTATGGCTCTCTAAAACGTAAAAAGCAAGCTGTACCCTGACAACTTTGGGTACCTGTTGTCAGGACCTACTGAGGCTGTGCCACAGGCAGGTCTTTAACCCAGGCAAAATAAACAGCCTAAATTGATTGAGACTTGTTTCAGATGCTTTTAAGTTTATACCTTTATACTCTATTTTTACTGCTTTTCTATGTTTAAGCATATTTAGATACACAAATACCATTGTATTACAATTGCTTACAGTATTTAGTATAGTAACATGTTGCACAGGCTTATAGCCTAGGAGTGATAGGCTATACCATAAAGCCTTGGTGTGTAGTAGTAGGTTTCTTTAAGTACATCCTATCATGTGCATACAGCAAAGAAATCACCTAAGGACACATTTATCATAACATATATTCATGGTTAAGCATTGCACTACTGTACTTACATACTGATATAAAGCTAATACTTTGTGTTACATGGTAAGTGAATAAGACCAAAAAAAGATATTTGATTAATACATGTATTAATACATATACACACAAATATATTCATAACAAAATAAGGAGAACATTTAATGATAAACTATTTCTGAAGCCAGTTACATAGTTGTAGCTGTGCAGAAACATAGGATTTATAACTACATTTGTCCAAATTCATTTTGAATTTAGAATATAGACTACCTAGTCTATATTCATTTTGTTTTCATTAAGCACCTCAGCTGGTCATGATTCTTTACCAGCATGAGAAAAAAAAAAAAAAACCTTCATTCCTGAAAAATCCAGGCTATTAATAGTCCTTTCTGGATTGCTTTGTTGCAGTTTTTCACTGACTTTAATCACTTAGCCTGGTAATACTAAGAGATGCTCTAAGATATATCTGATACTATATCTCAGATATACCCTTCCTTACCTCCACTGTGAAGTAATAATATCTTAGTCCATTTTGTGTTGCTATAATAATACCACAGATTTGATAATAAACAATAGAAGTTTATTTGGATCATGGTTCTGGAGCCTGAGAAGTCCAAAAGAGCATGGTGCTTGGGTCTGCTCAGCATCTGGTGAGGGCCCTTTTGCTGTGTCATGTCCTAGTGGAAGGTATAAGTGCAAGTGAGCACATGTTCAAGAACGACAGAGGAGGGAGAAGGGAGTTGAACTCATCCTTTTATCAGGAAACCACTTTCATGCTGACTAACTGACTCCCATGATAACATTAGCGTAGTTCATGAGAGTAGAGCCCTTATTATCTAATCACCTTTTAAAGGTCCTACTTTTCAATACCACGGCATTGGGGATTAATTTTCTAACACATAAACTTTGGAAGACAAATTCAAACCATAGCCAATAGTCCAATTTCCCCTTAGAGTCAGAATCAGTCACCTCAATCAACACCAAAACTCTCTTCTTTCCTTGTTGATTCAGAGGCATCAGGAGCTCAAAATGACTGATTGTAATTCTTAACATCCAGTTCAATTGAAGCATTGTTGTGTCTCTTGGAGTAATCATTTCTCTCTCTCTGGAACTAAGCCCCTCAGGCCAGCAGAGCATACTCTAGTGGAAACAGAAAGCAAAAAAAAAAAAAAAAAAAAAATTGCTGGTGGGTTACTAGAGGTTACAATAAATGATGCTACTCCCATTTTCACCCCATGATTCTTGGATCCATGAGTTCTGGCTATCAAAAAACAGCACCAAATATTAGACACAAATTCAGAGCATATATAACTTTGAATCTAGTTTCCATTCTGCAAGTTATTGCTACCTAACTGGTGCTGTAACCGAGTCTTTTGAAGGACATTCCACCATTTAATCAAGTCATATGTTTCAGGATGGTGAACATGGTGAGCCCAGTGAATTCAATGATGAGCATGGGCACAATGCTGCACTTCTTTGACTGTGAAGTGAGTTCATTGCTAGGAGCTATGCTGTGTGGAATAGCATAATGATGGATAAGGTATTCTCTTAGTCTATGAATGGTAGGTTTAGCAGAAGCAATATGTACAGGGAAGGAAAGTACATATCCAGAGAAAGTGTATCTATTCCAGTAACAGCCAACACTATCCATATTAAAGTTCTCTAGAGGGACAGAACTAATAGCATAGACGTACATGTGAAGGGGAGTCTATTAAGAAGTATTGACTCACACTATCACAAGGTAAATTCCCACAATAGGCCATCTGCAAGCTGAGGAGCAAGGAAACCAGTGTGAGTCCCCAAATCTCAAAAGCGAGGAAGCCGACAGTGCAGTCTTCAGTTTGTGACCAAAGATCTCAGAGGCCCTGGCAAACCACTGTTGTGAGTCCAAGTGTCCAAAAGCTGAGGAACTTGGAGTCTGATGTTTGAGGGTAGGAAGCATCCAGGATGAGAGAAAGACGAAGGCCGGAATACTCAGCAAGTCAAGTCCTTCCATATTCTTCTGCCTTCTTTTATTCTAGCTGTGATGGCAGCTGATTAGATGGCACCCAACTAGATTGAGGGTGGCTCTGCCTCTCCCACTGATTCAAATGTTAATCTCCTTTGTTAACACTCTCACAGACACACCCAGGAAGAATACTTTGCATCCTTCAATACAATCAAGTAGACATTTAATATTAACCATCACACTACCCATTCCACGATGGATGCAGTTCAGTGTAATCAAGCTACCACCAGGTAACTGACTGATCACATAGGAAATGATGTTCTCTTGGGGGCTCAGTGTTGGTCTCTGCTTCTGGGTGCTTAGTGGTGGCCATAGCCACGTTGGCCTTTGTGAGAAGTTCATGCTACTGTGACGATGAATAACCTCTATTCATGACAGCATGGCCACTTTGTTCATGAGCCTATTGGCTAGCAGTGGTCTTTGGGGAAAGAGGCTGACTGGTATCTGCAGAACAAATCATCCTATCCACTTGATTATTAAAATCTACATCTACTGAGGTCACGCTTTGGTGAACATTCACATGACACACAAATATCTTCATGTTCTTTGCCCATTTACAAAGGCCTATCCACATACCTCTTCCTTATTTGTCTTTGTCACCAATTTTCCAGTGGTGTTCCTTTCAACTACTCGACCATCCAGCTAAAACACTGACTACAGCCTGTGATTTAATATATAATCACATATCTGGCCATATTTCCTTGCAAGTATAGTGCATCACCAGGTGTACTGCCCAAAGTCATCCCCACTGGGAGGAGTTTTTTCATCACTGTCCTTCAAGGATTGTTCAGAAAGGAGTTGTTCTGCTGTTGCTGTCCACTTTGAGGACAGCCTGAATATTATGCACAGTCATTTGTAAATCAGGCTTTAGTCTTCTCTTTGTTTGTCAATTGAATGTAAAGAACTCTCCACAAGGTTACTGATGCAGACCTTTCTGTTTTGGGAAAGAAAAGACAGTATAGCAGGAGTAGCAGGAGTGGGGACCATGGGCATTTGAGCTACTTTATGTAATTTTTGCCTTCAGGAGCTACTTAAACATGGCTACGTGTATACTATTTCTGTTTTTTTTTTTAATGTACATTCCCAATTATGGCTCAGTAATCTGAATATCAGCCAATTCATGATGGACAGCTGAGGCTGTCTGGTAACTTGATGGCCCATAGTCAAGCATTTAGTTTCCAAGTCCCAGTGGCCAGCCAAGAGCTATGTCTCAAAAGGAAAGTCATTTTTGAGTTTATAAAGATTAGAAACAAACCAAAATGTCTGTAGAATATTGCAGTGATATAATATACCTTTAGATAAATTTGGGGAAAATTGGTTTCTTTCATATATATCAATCCACAAACATTTCTCATTTTCTAAGATTACCATAGATTGGGTACTTCAACAACAACAACAAAAATTATTTCTCAGCAGGGGGCAGTGGCTCACACCTGGAATTCTAGTACTTTGGGAGGCTGAGGTGGCCAGACCATGAGGTCAGGAGTTCGAGACCAGCCTGGTCAACATAGTGAAACCCCTTCTCTACTAAAAATACCAAAATTAGCCAGCCGTGGTGGCATGTGCCTATAGTCCCAGCTACTCAGGAGGCTGAGACAGGAGAATCACTTGAACCCAGGATGAGGAAGTTGCAGTTAGCCAAGACCGTACCATTGCACTCTAGCCTGGCTGACAGAGCAAGATTCTGTCTTTTTAAAAAAAAAAACAAAAATTATTTCTTACAGTTCCTGTGACTGGAAATCTGAGATCAGGTTGTCAGTGTAGTTGGATTCTTAGTGAAGGCCTTACTCTGTCTTTATAGATGGCTGTATTCTCTTTGTATCCTCACATGACACACAAAGAGAGCAAGCTCTGCTCTCTTCACTTATAAAAGCTCTAATCTCATTCACAAGGGCTCCAACTTCAAGACCTAATTATCTCTCAAAGTTACCACCTCAGAATACTCCACACACTGGGGATTCAAACTTCAACCTGTGAATTTTGGAAGACCACAAACTTTAGGTCAGTAGAAATTTCCTTCATAGATAATATTATTATCCTGATTTCTAATGTCATCGATTGTTTCTGTCCTTTTTTTCCCCACACCAACGTACAATATAATCTCTTTCATGTCAGGATTCTTTGGCTCAATATTAAGTTTTTGAAATTGACCTATGGTATTGCTTGTAGTATTACTTTGTTGATCCTCAAAGTTGCATAATAACACACAATTTATTTAATCATTCGAACATTGGAGAATATTTTGTTTTTAGTTTGGGGCTTGTGAAATAACAAGAAATGTACATATTGGTCTCTGTCCTGAGTAGCTGACACACAGCTCCTAAAATTTTGTAATTTCCTGAGCTACAGCAGTGCTAGAAGAATCTTCTGTTTTAATGTTTGGTCTCTGCCCCAGTTATTGAGCTCTCAATATCATTGTAGGTAGTAGAGGTGCTCAGAGAATGTTTTGTTCTGACATGTGCTTCTTCACCCTGATTCCTAATACAAAACTTCTAAATCCCTTGGAATTTTCTGGGCGATTGGAACATCTCTTGTAGTGAGGCAACTCTTGCTGGGCTCCTGAAAAGCCTCAGGCTAGGGACTAGTTGACAGGGAAACATGTGACTAGTTGACAGGTGGGGACTTCTAGCCCCACCTCCTGAACTCCAGAGAGAAAACAAATGGGCTGAAAGTTGAGTTTATAATCAATGGACAATGATGTAATCAATCATGTCTATGTAATGAAGCCTCCATAAAAACGCAAAGGAATAGAGTCCAAATGGCCTTCCAAATAGATGAACATGTGGAGGTTCCTTAGGGTAGCAGAGCAGGCATGGAAGCTCTGTGTCCTTTCCCGTATATCTTGTCCTATATGTCTCTTCACCTTGCTGCTTATATGTGTCCTTTATGTATATCTTACTAATAAACTGATAAATATAAGGAAAGTATTTCCCTGAGCTCTGGTGAGCCATGCTAGCAAATTAATCAAATCCAAGGAGAGGGTTGTGGGAACTCTGATTTATAATCAGTCTAGTCAGTCAGTAGGAAGCATGGGTCACCACCTGTGTTTGCAAAGGGGAGGCAGTCTTGTGAAACTGAACCCTTTACCGGTAGGATCTGATGCTGTCTCCAGGTAAATCGTCTCAGAATTGAATTCGAGGACACCCAGTTTGTGTCCACTGGAAAATCTTCTGGATAATTGCTTGGTTTGTTGGGGTGTAGTGGGGGATACCCATATATCTAGTGTCAAAAGCATTGGGTCACTGTGTAACAGTAGAGAGTAGGAAAGAAACCACTTTTTTTTCCAATCTTTAAGAAGGCTATTAGGACTAGTTATGCTACTAATATTATTGTACGTGTCTTTTGTAAACATATAGAAATGTTTTTGTGGAAATATGTACCTAGGAGTGCAACCACTGGGTAATATGATATTTCAGCCCCAGTAGAAACCACCAAATATTTTGTCCAAATGTGTTGTGCCAAATTACATAGCAATAGCATTGCATAAAAATACCAGATGCTTCACCTGGTTTCTAACACTGTACTATTTCTTAATCACCACATCAGCTGCATTATTGATATCAATGTGAACATTAAAACAAGAATACTTTTGTAAAAATTGGGTATCTCTATTGACATTAATGGTTCAGAAGACAAGGTCTTAGACATCATGGACTGGAGAAAAAAATATTGTAAATTGACAATTACAACAAAATTGTCATATGAATTAGGGCAATCACGATCAATGCCTGAATTGTATTTGCTGAATTTGGCAAGGTTGTTATAAGTCATAGATATATGTTTTCAATTTGTTATTGTTTTTAGAGATGGGGCTTGCTCACCCAGGCTAGAGTGCAGTGGCATAATCACAGCTCATTGCAGCCTCAAACATCTCAGCTCGAGGGTTCCTCTCCTCTCAGCCTCCCAAATAACTGGGACTACAGGCAGGAGCCACTTTGCCCAGGCTGATAAAGATATTTGGATACAGCAAATTTTACATGGAGTTTGAATAATATATATCATTATCAATGTTATTTTAATAGTGAGATATTTGAATTATGTAGAGAAATGCCCTCATTCTTAATAATGTCTATTTATGTGTTTAGCAATGATGCTACTTCATGTGATAGCTTACAAATGGATCATAGGCAAAGCATATTTTGCGGTGAACTTACAATTTT